AAAGCGGGTTTTCCCGTATTTTTTTTTTTACTTTTTTTCCCTCTTTTGATTGATTGATTGATTGATTGATTGGTGAGGGATGGGTCGCCCCCCCAACCCCCACCCAATGTGTGTGTGTGTGTGTGCGCACACACACACACACACACACACACACACACACATGAACACACACACAGACACACATACACACACGCACACACACACACAGAGGGCAGTTTTTTTACTTTTTTTTTTACTTCTTTTTTTCCACGCGTATCCTGCCACGTGTCCGAGGCCCATTGGGCTCGACCCGTTGATCGGATTTCAATAGGAAGCCCCCGTTGTGCCGTTCAACGGGGATTTAACTCGGACCCCGGGGGTGTACAACAAGTACAACGGAGTTGTACAAAACCTGTTGCGAGTTGAATGGATACACAGATCACCGACAGTCGGATCCGAGGCAAAGGGGACGGAAGAGTCGGACAGCTCAAGCAAGGCACGCAGAACAGGGACCGACAAAGCGAGGGTTCATGAAGGCGGCTCAGGCGGATCGTCCTTGAGCAAAGTCATGGAAGACTCAACGAGATCGTATTGTCAGGGCCTTGATAATGTGGCGACCGCCCTGGCGAGAGCGACTATAGGAGCAGGCACGGCAATAGCAGCGAAAATAGGTGATGTAGCCGATGCAATGAGAGGGGGAAATTCTGTGCTGGAACTGTTGGTGGGGGTTCTTGCGCGGCACGGGGGGGGAGGGGGTGGGGGCAACTTCAGCAGTCATCCCGATGATATATATATATATGTGTGTGTGTGTGTGTGTGTGTGTGTGTGTGTGTGTGTGTGTGTGTGTGTGTGTGTGAATCTGTATGTGCACCGGTCATCGGGCAGAATCGATGTGTGCACCTGCTTTTGGGGAGGGGTTGTCCACTGCGATACACACACACACACACACTGTTGGGGAGATCATGAAGCTAGGGTGGGGTGATGTATATAACATCGCACGGGATACCGGGGAGCACCTGTGCTGGAACGCGATCGCATTGCGGTGCTGCGGGTGCGTCTTTTTTTTTTCCGCCATTCTGTCGATGTATGTTCTGTGGTCGCCTTCATCATATCGGCGAAACTGTTCAGTGTGTGCGCTGTTTAGTGTGTGCCGCGGGTGTGTGTGTGTG